TATATATATATATATATATATATATATATATATATATATATATATATATATATCGGAAAACGTAAGGCCCAGCCCATAACGCGATCGTTTCAAATCCCAGAGCAGAGTTCGTAGCTCGCTGCGATATTAAAATAATCGATTGTTCCGTGCCGTCCCGGCGTGCATTGGCCGTGTACCAAAACGATACCCGCGAGTTACATCGGCCGATTTTCCATTTAATCCTAGAAGCTGATTTTCACGGGTGTACATTTGTTATGAGCATTAGGGGGATGCCCTCATTATTTCTCGCGGGCCGATAAATTCCACGAAAGCGGGTGTTTAATTTTACACGCGTCCGGGAGCAATAATTGGGGAGCGAGGAAGCATAGACGATCGCCCGCGAGATGCTTTATTGATTAGAAATAATGCCGTTATCGAGAAATCAATTCTGCTTCCGAGGGAGTTAGGGACTGTAAAGTTGTAATTTTAATTAGGCGCGCATACGCGGGATATCACACACCCCCGGGATATTGGCTATTTTTTCTTTTAAGTATTACGAAGCTCGCTCGCGAGTTTCGAGATTCGTTCGGCTGGAGATAGATTGAACTCAAGTAAAATCCAAACGTAGAAATTACCTCTAACTCGCCGGTGTAAAAGACTCGTCGGAAAAAAAGTCGCGCCGGGGATAGAACGGCGGGAATGATCAATCTCACGTAAGGAAACCGATCTTACGGTGTTTCTTTACGTGGAAATGTAAAGAAACGTACAAAGACTGATAGCGTCGTGGTTCTAACAAGCCCAGTGTTCTCGCCGGGAAGACTCGGCGGGAAGTTGCGGTGCTACTTGAAAAGCATGTCGGCCAAATAAGCCGACGATGCGGAGTCGAATCGGCCTAATTATTCCGTCGATTCCTATATAATTTATGACGTCGCGTACGTTGTAAATTATATATTGTCGAAGCAATTCGATTACCGCGATAATTAGAATGTAATAGCGCCGTAATGTGTCGGAAACATGCCTCACGATTAATTGATGCGTTATTAAATCACGACGCTGAGTAATTTACGATTGCATGTCGTCCGACAATCGTGCGCGCACTGGGTGCAAAGTAGTGCGCGCTAACAATTGCATTTGGCGTTACTCATTGTCAATGGTTTACAAATGTAGAGCTGCGGGCGATAAGTGAGACGATTTACTTTTTCGCGAGACACAATTTGCGCGCCTCGCTTATCTTTATGATTATTAATAAAAGAATTCGCTTCGCGCGCTGTCGCGTCAACGTATTCACTCTCCCGCTATAAGGAACCTCTGTCTCATTTGGAAATTTATCCTTTGATCTTAGTCATATTGATCCTAATCAACTATATAGTTTATGTGACATTAACGCGAGTATTAATTGTTAGTGAGGTCCAAATTGTTAATAATCCTTGTTATTAACAATTATTAATAAACTCCTGATTGCCGCGTTGCGTTACATGATTTATGAAGACTCGATAATATCACTATGTATAAAACAGATAACTGACTGGGATTAACGTGATCAGAGCCAAGGATCCAATAAATTTCTAATCGGAATTAAGCATTTCCAAACGCGGTCTCCTACTAAATCGCTTAAACCTTAAATTCGAGGAGCAACACTGAATTAGCTCCCAATTAATATTTAATTAGTAGTTCCACTAAGGTTTTTTCATTGTATTGGTGGTGTCGGGCTAACACAAAGGTCTATTAGGAGGCTGCTTTGAAACACCCCGGTAACGCGAACCCGGCATCACGTAAACGCGCCTGAAATTGATAATTGAACGTTTGTCTGCGATATAATCGCGTGCAACAATATCTCCGGCGCGAGACCGACCAGGTCCCGTCGGCAAGCGGCCCGTGAATTCGCCCCGCGACTTGGCAGCCCGCCTGGAATTTCGCGATTCGCGAGCTCCACGCATCCCCCTGTCGCTCTGTTACATCCGCGATGCACACGCCTCATCCTCCTCGTCCTCCTTCTCTCTTTAGGAATTCCTGCCTCCTCGTCGACGAGCGAAGGATGTCCGATTGGCGACACGTCGAGTGTTGCACGCGCGCCGCAGGGATTTCCCTTGGAAATTGCAACGTGAATAATTCGTCGCAATATGCAACGTTCGCCGCCGCTCCAGCGTCCTGAAATTTCTATCAGGCCGCGCCTTGATTCGCGCCGCTTAAAGCACTCCTGAAGATTCTGACCGTAAATTCGACCCTGCATAAATTATGACGGCACAAAGTGGCGAATGTTCCCCGTCGCGGGACAAGAAATCATTTCTGTTTTATTCGCATACGATTCGTACGTACTAAAACATTAGTTGCGCGATGCTTTTGCACGATTGTCGGAAAATACTCGCAAAATACGGATCGGATAATTACGTTTGTCGCAAACTCGAAACTAACGTGCGCTGTTTTCGCTCGGAAATCTCAAATTTCATTATAATTAATTTTCGATTATATTTTGCGTTCGGACGTATAATTTCGCTCTTTCGTTTGATATAATTAACGTTTTGCAGTTACACGATATCAGGTTTCGCGGCGTTGTTAAAATAATATCGCGATGATATCGCGTATAATTGTAATAGCATTGTAGACAGTATTCGAAAGTGACACTCGAGCTACAGCCGCGGTGAGCTCGTCGCGCGATCCGCCATCAGCAACGGAGAAATACGTGAAAACTTGCCAAGCAGAAACAATTATTTTTCTGCGAACGCCAGGGAATCCGCCCACTCGCTCGGTATTACTCCTGTCCGGGTGAACTGATAAAACTCCTTCCCAACTTTTTCGCGGGCGTCAGCCGTTTCTTCAGCGGCAATCTGTAAGCAGCGATCCAACAGCCCCATTTATACCTTTGTTAAGCTAGCATCCCTAACACCAAAAACCGAAATGGAAACTATAATTCGATGCGTGTTGACATAGTGCTGCATCTCCGATTTTATTGCTCGAACAGAACAGCGCACGCAGAAACTCGTACTTGAAAATCAGAATGCTAACTTGTGTCAACTTGATCTTTCTATTACTCGGAAAGCGACCTGCCCAAAACGTATATACACTTCGATATAGTGCTCTTTTGGTATACTCTTACTGAATTGAGCTTACTTTAGTTTAAGAGATACGAGTTAACAAAGAACAATTCGAGTCGAAATTTCGATAAATAAATTGTAATAATACAATCGATGAAAACTGTAAGCTCAATATCAATTGACTTTCGATTTTACATCTGGATAGGATTTCATGATTTTATGCAGATCATTTATTCAATATTCTATTTCATGAGACTATGAGGACGCCACGCAATCGAAACAAAGCGCGATTTCCCCGAGACGTACCGGCTGAGATTAACCAGAAAGCGCGCTGCATTCGCTTACGTATCCTTTCGCGAATCGCTCGTTTCGCTTTTCCTTGATGGAATCGAAATTGCGCGCGAAAGAAAACTTCCATTCCAACTTGCGTTAAAGCACGCCGAAAGTTTCGCGAGGAAACATTGTCGGCGCGAAGGAGGCGCGATTCGCGTGAGACGATAGCGCTCAACTTTTCGCCGCCGTGCCGAAGGTACGGTACTCTTTTGCACAACATTGCCGTGTTTATGTGTGCGCGTATTTACGTGTGTGTATGTATGCGGGCGCGCACAAGGACGAAGCCCTGACCGGTGGAAAGCCGGAAGTCGAGCTGGACGACGTACCCTTACAGGAAACGTCGTCTTGCTCCGTTGTCCGGTCTCCGACCGGAATCGGGCCTTGAATGTTAGCCCTTCCTGTGTGAATTTATCATCCCGGATCGTCCGAAGACTCGGGAGGATATCCCGTCGTTCCCTTCTCCACTCGCGATAATACGAATCGTCGTGTATAGCTTCGGGCGAATGGGATTAGATCAGTTTGCACGACCCGGTTTTTCGCGTGAATCGCGGAAAATCGGGGAATTGCTATCGACGATGTGATTTACTCGAGAAGATAGAGAGTACCGAAGTTCCAGCACGAACCGCGAACGGATACGACGGAAGATACGATATGCATGTACAAATATTTATTGCCGAGACTAGCATAACGGAAAGTTCCTCATTTATTCTCGCGTTCTTTTTTATTTTACGCTGTGGATCCATGTTGCCATTGTATATTTGATGTCAAATATAATAACGTTAAATACAACAAACAGATCATTCGTACACTTACGATTCTAAATTCTAAATCTACACGTCACTACCTAATCACCTGAATCAAATAGAAATTATAACAAAAATACGAAAGAACTATTTTCTCTATCGTTATCACCGCGCGAAATTGGCGCGGTAATTTTTTATGTAAAGAAAAGGGAAGAAAACGTAACTTTTCAAGGGTAGCGTGATGTAAGAAAGCACTGATGTAAGAAAAACATAGAAATACTTGAATATCGTGACATCAATCGATAGAGTGGAAGTCGGAAATTCGCGGATAAACTCTACCGCGAGCAGCCTCCAGCTCTTTTATGCGAGCCATCCCCGGATTCGTCTTTTCCTCGATCGATTCCGGCAAAGGGCCTCCGAGGAGACTCTGCAAATCCTTCAGGAGCGAGGGCGGTTTCCAAGGAGTGCAGGGATCCATCATGACGGCTCTCTTTCCTTTCCGCGCCGCCAAGATCCTCGCCGTCGTGCTCCTCGGCGTGACCTCCTTGGTAGGGTACCACCCCTTCTCCTTCTCTTGCAAGCCTCTCGGAGCCTCTCGAGATTTTTCCGCAGCTGTGGCGCTGTATGGAATATCGCGGCTAAATTATTATCGACGGCCGCGAAAATCGGCCGGAACGCAAGCGGAAAATTCGAAATCTCGAGTCTGCGCATTCTCGGAATGATGGGAGGAAATCGCGCGGCGCCATAAAAAAAACCCCTCAAAACCTGACGAGGCGTTTCGTCCACGAAATTCGAGGACAAGCAGAAAAAAAGCGCCCTTTCATTCTTTTACTACCAACAGAATATATATGTTCCGAGACATGTGTGTGTGTTTTGCCTATCATTAATAGTAACCTTATTCAATTGAATAAACAGCTTTTTTGGCAATTCGAACACATCAGTTATCATTTTGTTTATTACCGTTGGGACAAGTATACCCTTCCATAAGTCTCAGTGGAACATCAGTGTCCCGGACCTATCTCTTTAGCGCTAAACATAAAACTTTTTAAACATAAAATTTTCTTGTTAAAATTACATTATATTGATGTATTCAATGAAGCGAAGAGAAATTGTATCTTTAAAAAGCAAAATTGGTAGCGAGGGATTTAACCCGATTTAACATCATTACAGTGACGGTAAACTTCATATTCATACTGTCGCTGATTAATTGGGAATAAAGGGAAGGAAAATTATATTTACACAAATGCGCGTAAATAGAGATAAGAAGCTTTCATGGTGTAGCTAAGCGCAAATGGAAACTCGCGCAAATAAGATTTACCGATTCCGAGAAAGATTCGCTAACACTATACGAGAACAAACCTCGTCTTCAGAACTCTCTTGGCGAGCTTCCTCACTCTCGTTCTTGTTTCACTGCTTCGTTTGGCTTCCCGGATCTCCCTTTTAGCTTTTCTCGCGGCCCCTTGTAGTTCCTCGGGCAGCTCCGTCATCTCCCAGAGAGAACGAATTGTTCCCGCGGACGACGCTTTGCGTTTATAAGCTCGCACGAGCTTCGTCCAAGATTCCCGTTTCTTCTGTCTCGTTTCGCAAACCTTACGTTCGGCCGGCGTCCTCGCTCCGACCTCGTCCTCCGATCTCTTTTCCATGTCGATTCCGTCGCGAGTCCATTTCATGCGATCTCTGGCCGCACGATCTGCGAACCTAACCACGGCCGGCGATTCAATATGCCTTTCTCGCGGATTCTGGAAGTCGCGGGAAAGAGTCGGATCGAGCTTTAAGTTGAGGCGAACATTATCCGAATTCTGGCGACATCAGGAGATCTCGAAAGCCACTGAGGCTTTGGCGATCTTAACGGGTCTCTCAAGCGTTCACACATCAATTTTGAAGATGTCAAGGAAGATTTTCAAGGAATTACATTAACCTCGATATTTTACGCAAGAGTCTATCGGCGGAGTATATAATTTCCTTCAAATTTCTCCTTTGGTACTTAATGTTTCCACGGACACGCGCACGATACTCTTCTAAGGAGATTCATTCATTGTACAACACTGAACCCCATGCGCCGTACCTAGTGTTTAATTTTCCGCGGCAGCAAATGTCAGGTTTGCAGACACCAACTTTGCACGGCCTCGGCAACCTGAAAGCGACGGGCATTAGTCGCTTCCTGCGTTTCCTCTTGCTAATTTCCTCCGTCGGAGATTCCACGATCACTTCCGTCTGCGGAGGCAAGGGTTCCTCCACCATCGGCTTCTCCTGTTCAACATGCAGGTCTACTTCCGTCGTAGGAATCACGATCTTGGTCTTCTTCGCGACGGCGATTTTCTTCGCGGGTATCTCCGCCGCGACATCTTCCGCCTCGTCCATCGTCTCGATGGAATCCTTGTCGATCTTCCTCCTACTGACAGCTTTTCTTATAGTTGAGATGATCTTTGAAGCTGTTGAAAGACGCTCGTCCTCTTCGTATTTCTGTTTTTCCTATTAACCGTGCGAAACGCGATATTTCTATTCAAGTGGTAATTAAAAAATAAAATCGTGATAATTAAAAAATAAGAGATCCCATTTCGTTATAAATTTATTGAATTGTTGTTTGCGAGAAAGAATTTTACCAAAAATAATTAGTTTTTAACGATATTGCGCGACTATACGCAATAAATCACGGAGAAAGGTAAAAGCCGACGGTCGAATGAAAGAATAATGAAAAGTTCCGAAAGTTCGCTAATGTGTAGCGGCTAGCCGACCATGAGTGATATATTAGAAATTTTATGAAACTAAAATACGCAATAAAAGAAGTTAATATATATATATATATATATATATATATATATATATATATATATATATATAAAATAGAATGTCTGTCTGTCTATGTTCTTTACAGACTCTTAACTCTTTGACCGGTTTGGATCAAATTTTGCATTGTTACTTTCTAGGATTTTGCGGAAAATATAGACTACCATGAAATCTATGGACGCTTCGCTCTTTCCCCGATACCATTCCCCATAACAACTTGAACAACACATTTAAACTAATAAGGTATAAAATCACATTCGAAAGAGATACGAATTTTTGCACGATATATTTGTATCGATCAACCTTAAGTATCGCTGTATAAATTTCATTTATCAATTCTTAATTTCTGATTATTATTAGTGGCAAATGCAATTTTTTTCATGGAGATTTTTTACGCAGAAAACATTGCCACAATTCTCGAAAAATTGCTCGATATTACCTTCTCCACAATTTCGAAAAATCTCTCCTCGACTATCCGAAGATCGTCAAACTCGTCTTTAGGCCTCTTTTTCTTTATGATTCTGTTTTTCTTACGGTAATTCTTCAACTTGTCCTCTTGCGTCTTTTGTTTATCGCGATTCTGACTTTTTGTCATCAATTTGTTCTTCCTTTTTCCTCTCGGAACTTCCAACACGCTTTTTGATTCATCCTCCGTGACGTACGTTCTCGTCAATTTTATTTCCTTCAGTCGCGTGTCTATCGCCTTTACGAAACGGGAACACCCCTCCAGGTACTGGATGTCAGGATCGGAAAAGCGCGACAGAACAGTGTACTTATTCTACGTCTCTCTTCAAATAAAACTGAATTTTGCAATACTTAACTACTATATAATAATTATACTTTGCGAAATTTAGTCATAAACGAGACGAAACTTTAAGAGGTGACTACAAAACAAAATTAATTCCACCATATTTTCACAAAGTTAAGAATATTATCGTCGTGGTACGTTGTTTTCTTTGATATAATATCAAGTTGTCACGTTGTCGCGTGCTTCTTGTAAATTTTCGTAAATTAATTTTGCGCCGTAAATTCACCGCGAGAGGGAAGAAGTGACCGCTCTCACCAACGAGAAGTCGTTCTTGTCATTTTTATCGAACGAGTATAGCGCTTCCGTCGACTCGACCAGGAAAACGTTGCCGGCGGAATTGCCGACGGCCAAGAGATCGCCTCTCTCGTGTGCCGCGATCGCAGTTAATTTTTCCTTACATATTTGTACCGAAAGGATGGGCTCGCTAAGGCCCACCAGAAGGTCCCACACGGTCAATATCCCAGTGCGTGTCGTCACGTAAAAGATCGAGTGTCTCGCTTTGTTCCAGCAACCGCTGACCGGGTCTTCTTTTATAAATCTACGGATCGATAGATGCCGCTCGTGTTATCTCAATCTCGAGTTTATTCCTATTGACTGAACATACCCGGCCTATTAATTATCGCCATATTATTGTACTGATTAACGCAATTGTAATATATTTGTTGATTTTACTTATCCATGCTGTTAACCGTGCCGCACGAAAATCAATATTGCCTTTCGGGAATATGGAAAATTAATTGATGTATGTTTATGGCTATTTCAATGCCGAACGTTAATTGATAATCCATCTTCTAAATTTACCGATTATCAGCGTCCATTTGTATCACGGCGCACGAGTTGTATTTCGAAGCCGGTTTAAACGAGTCACGAAGGTAAATAATGAAATGTCATTAACGTACTTGATTTTAGCTGAATGCGGTCATTTTCGTGACACCATGCCATCTAAATAGTTGCGTGGTATTGATTTATTCAATGGAAATATTCATTTGCGTGTATTGTATATTTGCGTGTTTATAAAATTGTCTAGGATTTTGTAGTTATTGTGATATCGTTTTATCTCTCATTCTCTCTCCTCGTGCAATCAAGAAAAATCAAACATCGAAACATCGAACATATTCAAAACGATATCATAATAATTTTCGTAAATTGCCTTCTTCTAAATATTCTTAGAAAGCAAGGCTTTGTAGCAATAAAAGCATTCATCTATCTACATGGAGAGAAAATATTATATATTTTTCTATTTTTTTATATTTTTATATTTTTATATTTTTCTATTTTTTTCTATAGTTTTTAAAATTATATTCTATAATTTTTATTAAAATTCTCTCCATGTATATTTTTCTCTTTCTCTCTCTCCCTCTCTCTGATTTATTTCCAAACGAAAGAGCAAAGTACCTGGTCGACACGAGACTGCTGTCTTTAGCGTCCTCCGCCCAGACACGGACGATACAGTCGCCGACGGTCAGAAAGATTTTCGGGTTGAAGCTGTTGCGATCGACGGCAAGGACCGGGCCGTGATGCGCATCGAAAGTCCAGGCCAATTTTTCAGCCGGTGTCCGTGCCTTTCTCGAGCCGCTGATCACGACGCCGTTTTGCAGGCCGAACATGAACTTCGTGCTCACGCTGGGCTCAAAGTTGGCCGACGAGACGCCGATCGCGCGGTCTATTTGCGGCTCGTTCGGCGTCTGAAGATCGAACACGAGGATTTCGGTCGGTTTCCGCAATTTCCTGGTGTCCCACCACATGGCTCGACCGTCCGTAGAGCCGGAGAAGAACTCCGTGTTGCTCTTCGTGGTGATCCACTTGACCGTCGTCGTGGCGTCTCTTTGAAAATACGGGTCTGTAGTCGTAAGCTATGTTTTCGCGTTTCGCGAGCGGCGCGCGTTTGATAAATTGCGCGACTGTTGGAATGAATCGAGTCAATTGGCTTTTTCCTCTACGGCTGTCTATGCATATTCGAAGGACAAAGCGAGCATTCTCTTCATGGGCGCATTATCGTCGTGCTTTTCGCAGATAAAGCGAAATAGGACAACCGATTAGCTCGCCGGCGAGCGACGTCGACGTTGGGAGGAAAAAGGTCGCGCGCGAATCAACGGAGCTCGCGCGAAATGAGGCTCAATCGAGAACGGGAACGCGACGGCGCGTTATTCATTCATCGCCTTGCCGCTTCGCGAAGTCGAAGCGTTTTCGGCTGACCGGGAACAAGGGGGTATAAGGCCGCTACTGAATTATGAAATCCAAAGTTCCGCCGTCCCGTTCGCAGAAGGCATGTTCGTGTCGAGATTACCTATGACTGAATTGACGATGAGACGTCTGGACCGGAGTGCTGCCAGTCCTGACGTCCCAGCTGCAAACTTGGCCCGACATCAGGCCGCTGGCGAGTACAGACGGATCACGAGGATTAAATTCGCTGACCAACGTGGCGGACGTGGCCTTCAGTGTCATCCAGGGCTCGTTAGGATTGTCTGTCGCGTTTTTTTTTGTTTTTCCCCCGTTTTTTCCCATGATGATAAAGCGTGAAAACGAATTGGAGCGACTATATTATTTTAAAAATTACACTCGGGGGAAGGGAGGCGGAATGCTATTTGGAGAGACGCGCTATCAAACGTGCATGCGTTTATACGTATATATGAAAATGCGACACGTTTTATTTTTAATATGCTGAAAACAAAATATTTATCTTCGCGATTCAGTTTGTTCGCGTGCGCTCGTAGTTTGGCTAGTGTTTCGTTCGTAATGAGACTAAGTTGACCGTAAATCAGCGGCGCGAGAACTGGAGTCGAAAAACTTTGCTTTTACATTCACCCATGCAGATTCCATATTAGCATGTGCTAAAATTGGAGCTTTCTTTTGCGTGAGTTTTCCAGTAATAATTTTGGTGGCATCGAGACGAGAAATATCCGGCTACTAAATACGGGATAAATTTGACGGTATATTTCTATCACGAGAAATTTGATAATATTATACAGAGGATATCTGACAATTTTTTATTAGCACATCCGTTGTGTGTAGGTAGAATTATAGATTCATCGAATTGAATAAAAAAGTCCTCTACCATCTCACAAATAAAAAAACCACGCAGTTATTAACTACGTTTTTAGTTATTAATTTAAAAAGATTTGTACATTTTATTACATGCAATCATCAACTAGAAATTTTAAACGTAGTTATTTGCGGAGTGACAGAAAAATTTTGTGTTTAAATTGACGAGTTCTATCAACACAAGTGCGTATGCCAACAATTGTCAGATACTGTATGCACCATTCTTTATAGCAATTGTTTTGAGAGATACAAGTGTCGTATATTTGCGTGTTATAAAATTGGCAACATCTGCGGCGATTTTCGGAATTAATTTTGTCGCGAGCAAACGGAGGTAATCGGCGAACTAATGGCACCGTACGTTGGAGAAACCGATTTTCCCGAGACCAGGCGGTTACTCAGTGAAAAGATTTGCGCGCAATACAAAGAATCGTCGTCGCTAAAAACGGTAATGCGAACCCGCGGCGGAAGCTTATTGCGGACATCGCGCAACCGCAAACGATCAAGTGCAACATCTAAATGTAGTCAGGAGCGCGCTTTTTCTACACTCACCAATCTGCCAGATGTACACAATGTTGCTGTAATCTGGCTGGGTTCCAAGCTCCGAGTAGTATGAGACCACCATTTTACTACCGGAGTCTGGCGACCAAGAAATGTCATTCACCGATTCCGCCGGTGTTTGTAGATTCTCGTAGACGTTCAGCGTGCTGAAACCAAAATTCCTAGCTGCGTTCGGCCATTACAACGAGATAGAAGGGGTCAGAAAGCACGTCCGTATTCTTTTTTTTTACCGCATTAACGTAACAATGTAACATTACAGAAACAACGAGGGACGCGTTCGATATGGAAATATGAAATTTTAGTATTATGCCAGAATAACATGAACTTTGCGCATTTTCCATGGGTTGCATTGATAATCTGCCTGAAAAATCATGTTAATGTTGAAAATAATATTCTTTAAATTCATGATCGCATTACAACCCAGTTCACATTGCAGTAACGCTCTGTATTATTTTCATCTGCCCTTTTCACCACAGGATACGCTCCAGAACTCAACTTTTAATTTTCACATTAAATGTGATCATATTTACCGTTTCGCTTCGAAACAGACGGAACAAGGATTTGCTTTTTATATCGTCGGAGAGAAGAATAGCCGCCGTCGTTGCTGCTTCTCAGCGCGGTTTCGCGCTAGCTGCTAAATAGTTCGCCCGCGGCTCCCGCGGAAAATCGTTAGCTCAAAACGGAGGAAAGCAAATTTAGCGGCAGGATGCATAATTCACGTCCGCTACGATCCCGAAATCCCGACATATGTTCGGATATACCTTCGGGCTCGGAGAGCCGGGTTTAAATTTTAAATCTTTTGATGGCCAGTCCGTTGGTAGTCGTTCTTGTCCTCCGCGAATATATACATTTTAAAATTGTCCATCTGGAATCACGCGTCCGCTCGCATTCGCGCTATCTATGTCGTATGATAATAGAGACGATTCCTTTCCCTTCAACCGTGTGGCCGATTGAATTTTCCGCGTTCATTGCTCGACTGCGACATCTCGGCGAGTCGCCCGGAGATATAAATATCGCGCGGACTTCCGCCCGTTACCCTATTCTCCTCCGCGCTATTATTTTTAATCCATCGCCGAGACGTTTACAAAACCCACGTGTACGAAATCCATTTATAACGGACAAATCGTGTAATATAGCGCGCGGATGAGAGCGAGGTTCAGTTCTTACCGTAGATCCCGAGGCTTCACCAGTTCCGTAGGCACCATATCGTCGAAATACTGTTCGTATATGTTGAGCGCGCCGTTCTGAAGGACGCCATGTTCCATTTGCTGCGGAACGTAGGAGAAAAAGCGATGTAATCTTGCGCCTTTTCGTAAGTGCACGCGTTGTATCGGGGATAGATATAATAGGTCGGATTATTCTTGCGGAATTCGAGCCGTCTCGCCGATGTATTACCGTACAGTACTATATTGGCAGAATTCGCGACGATATACTGTGGCAGTTATACTTGGAATAAGTTACGTAATTTCGGCGCCCACTCGTCGTCCTTCTCGACCCGCCTGCGAAATCTCGCTGTGGTTTCCTCGTCTTTCGGGTTGATCTCCCTTGGCCAACCACCCTCGAAGTGAAACATTCCGCTGCTCTTCGTCTGGCCGTTGGCAGTCTGGGCCTAGAATTTCAGAAGGAACGATTGCTGGGACGTAAACGTGGAATTCCAAGGACGATCGTTAAATCGTTCGCGTCCGGACAGCTCCATTTCCGCGGTTCATTCGATTGATATACACGATAAAATAACGTAATATCAACGATCGGGTGAAGTTGAATTTGTCGAGCGCGACCGTTTGTCGATGACAATGTTTTTTGTTGAACTTGAGCGAATATATTTTTTGGAGATGCAACGGTGGAAAACAGAAATTGATAAAATAAAACTGAAATCAATCAATTTTTATATCGTAGTTGAGAGAAAAAAAGAGAGGTGAGTGTTTGCTGAAAGAAAAAAAGTGTAGTTTACCCGGACATACGGGAAATATAAAACGCAAAAAGGAAACGTGTAATTTCCGCGGTAAGACAAACCAAACCCAGGGAATTTCCTTCTTGGGCGGAATACTTACTTAGGGCAGAATTCAGATTTGCAGAAATATTCTTCTCTATTTACGCCTATTTCCATTATTACCCAATTATTACGCGAGTCAAATTTTACTACGTCTCACGGATGAAATTACGAACTATGAAATATAAGAATATGTAATATTGTTGTTTTTCGATTGATGTTGAATCTTCGCCCTTTCGTTTTATCATAAAATAATATAGTTGCTTTCTAATAACGTACTCACGATATATCTCGACGTACATCGCTATTTCATTCCTGATATTTATTTCCGCGTTAGGCTCACTTTCGATAGATAAAAGATGCGTAGAACGCGGAACGATGTCGATCGATGTCGAAATTATAGAATATAATTTAAAAAACTATAGAAAAAAGTATATAATGTCCTCTCTCCATGTAGATAGATAAATGCATTTATTGTCACTATAGAGTCTTGCTTTTTAAGAATGTTTAGAAGAAGGCAATTTACGAAAATTATTGTAATATCGTTTTGAATATGTCCGATGTTTGATATTTGATTTTTCTTGTAGAGAGAAAGAGAGAAAGCTCACTTTCGATAGATAAAAGATGCGTAGAACGCGGGACGATGTCGATCGATGTCGAAATTATAGAATATAATTTAAAAAACTATAGAAAAAAGTATATGATGTTCTCTCTCCATGTAGATAGATAAATGCATTTATTGTCACTACAGAGCCTTACTTTCTAAGAATGTTTAGAAGAAGGCAATTTACGAAAATTATTGTGATATCGTTTTGAATATGTCCGATATTTGATATTTGATTTTTCTTGTAGAGAGAAAGAGAGAAAGGGGTGAAAGAGTGGAAGTCGGCTGGTTGCACGAAATCCATGTAATGCATCGCTTTTCGGCGTTGCAGCTTCGTAGAAAGTTGCGATCTTGCAGGTAGCGAGCTTCGCGAGGCGAATGTTGCGCCGCCAGGCGCGTCAGCATGACGCCAATTTTACCGCGAGTTGAGTCTAGTTCCGTTAAAGTAAAACGCAGTCGATTTCTGAATATATTAGCGGAGTTTTCGAACTAGCTGCGGCGAGATGTAGTTTCTTCCCCCTTTACAACGAACTCGACGCTGTAACGTTAGAGCTCTGTTGTTGCCGTCGCAACTTCAAATACGTAATCTTGCAAATCGAATGAAAAATCCCGTGGCCCTTCTGAAGGATAAGCCCTCTCTTCGCGCGCGCAATTCAGTGCGCTGATTCTGTCCTATTTTCTCTCCGCGAATTTCTATCCAATTCAACGATTTATTTAATGAATATAAAAAGATTCATTTATAAGTTATCTTTTTTAAAGAGAGAGAAAGAGATAGAGAGACATTCAAGTTTTAATGGTCGACAAAAATATTAATATACATTCGAGATTGCAAATAAATTGTTAGAGATATTAAATAATTATACGTACACACGGAAAGAATATTCTAATTTTTTTTATATAAGTTCTTTTCAATTTTATACACTGAGAGAAATTACTTGGTGATTAAAATTATACTCGTTTTATGAGAGGTAGTGTAGTGAATTTATATGCGATCTCTGGTTTCGCACATCCGATATTCTAGTTACGGTGCCTCGACGCGTCTAGTAATCAATATCGAGACATTTGGCATCTAGATAGTTTGGTAATTTTCTTTAGACGTGTGATGCAAATGACACGATAGTCAATTGTCTCGCTGAGACGCTTTCGTTTCTATATTCTATATTCTGTATTACGAGGGTTGCTCTCTCGCACTTCTAACCTCGTGCAACGCGAACTGTTTGGTGTGCAGCACACCGACGTTGCAGTGAGTCCGCGTAATGTAATCTGCCATAGCGACGGGATTCGGCCTGATCTCCTCGTCCATGTGCGGTCCCCACGTGTCGAAGATGCACTGCTTGCCAAACTCGGCGCGCGTTTTCAGGAAAATCTGCTTGATCTCCATTATATCGCGCTCACGCCGCACTCAACATTCAAGTCGAACCGCACGGTAGCAATCCGCGCGCGCGTAGCTCGCCTACGGAGGATAAATCAGCGTTCAGGACGCGATGAATTTACGGAGTTCTCGAAAGCGCCACACGTGTTACCACATGTAGGAGTTTGCGCACGATCGCCTTTTCTTTCGGTCGCGACGCAATCGATATATTTATCGTTTTCTTCCTCAACGTGCGACTTTATATGCCGTGCCGCGAGGGAGAATTTTTTCGCGGAAACGACGAGATTATACGGTTTTCACCTGTGTTGAATTTATACGCTGACAAAGAATATCGTTCGCGTCTCCGAACAAAACGTGAATGATTTAAAGGTGGGGAACATATAGGAATTTCTACAACGCCATCTATTTTGCTACCTTTGGCTGTGGAACTTGTCGATTTGTGCGAATCGCTCGTCCCGATCGAGCTGATTGGACGAACGAGTCGTAAGTCGACGCAGGCCGCAATAGAGAGATTCCTGCTTTCTTTATTAATAATTGCTTCGCCGGGAACCGCTGATGTGATCGTTTTGTTTTAACGAGTCGTTTCGTACTTTGGCTCGATCGTTGTGGTCGGCACCATGCTGGTCACGTTTTTCGCGCGAAACACCAACCGTGTGTGATCGGAAAATTCAATACTTGAGTTGTATGAAGAAACGATCCCGTCCTGAGAATGACTCTTGCCACACCTGTTCGAGTGAATTTTATTTTTAACTCTAACGACCTTTTAATCCAGTCAGAGTTCTTTTACGCGAAATTTGTCAATACCATACACACGCTCTGTGTGTGCATACAAACTCTCCGCATTATTTGGTTCTTGTGTCTTTCCCGGGAAATTTCAGGAAATTGACCCGTCTCTTTTACATGCCGCGTTCGCAAAACATGAAAGCGGGAAAAAGCTGTCGATTCGCGAAATTAAATGTTGATCGGCCGGCTAAAAACATATTTCGAACTCAGGATGGAAAGCCATTAAAAATCTTCGGTCGCTCCCGGCACGACGTGCAAAAAGTGCGTAATACTTCTTCCACTGATTGACGAGAATATTGCGATAAATTATAACCGGATAACGAATGTCCTGTGCGATTTCATCACGTTGACTCTGTGAAATTTCTACCGCGAGACATTGCGAACAATATAAAATTGACAGAATATCAAATTTTGCTAGAAATTACAAATCACAGGGAAAATGATACAATGACCGAAAGCAGCGCATGATTCTGTTTCTCTCTCTCTTCCCCTCTCTGTCTCTCTCACTCCCTCCCTCGTTGTCCGCAAAAGCGGCGAATGAAACCTCCGAGAGCGATCGATTCCAATGTTGACTGCGTGGCATCTCATTAGAAGTCATAGTCGGACTATCGCGGTGAGGTCGCTTAGCATTTGAAAGGGCCTGTTGTTTTCCACGACTTGGCGTCCTGCTCCGACCGACTTTTTCTCCCCCTCGCACATTGTAATCTCCGATCTCTCGACCCCGAGAGCCCGATGAACCACGGCGCCCTCATCAGCTAATGACAGCGGCATCGGTTTGTTAGCTATTGCCGACCACGTTCGACCAACAATCGTCAGCGCAGGAACGCGAAGGTGCATTCGTAGTGTTTCCGGTCTCATGCAGCGCGCTGCTGACACCGATGCGCGCTCTATGCGAACCGACACACGCGCGCCGACGGCAGATTGCTTAAAAAAAAAAAAAAGATATACCTTCCGGTATTCCGGTAAATGACGTAGCGGCAGCGGGATTGCCCGCACGGCATACAAAATGTAACGCGAGGACGCGTTGAAAAATTTTACACAGCTATATCTACTCTTTCGTTGTATTTTATTAAAGATCTCTCGACAAAATGTTAACAAGGTAAATCTTTGTATATAAGAGAAAACTGTATTACAAGTCTCGCGAAGTTAGGCGCGAAATTATCGAGCGGTCGTGCGTCCGGCGCAAAATCTCTCTCGCGTTTCTCTCCGGCCATTGCTGCATTTCACGATAATTTCACCAATCGAGCATATTTTCAACGGGAATTATCTCGATACCGGCGCGACGCTGCGAGAGTTTCAGTTTCAACGCGAACAACCCGATGTAGTCTCGCTACGTTTCTCGAGGGTCTATCGATTTGCTAATCCGCGCTACACCTGTAGTTTTCCAGCCGGATTTGCCGAGCAAATAAAGAACCACCCCGGACGAGACCCGACTAACCGATTGCGAAACTTCCGGGCCAGTCGCGGAAATCTTCGCTGTCGCTGCTGCTTTTAATCTCTCAAAGCCGGTACGTGCATAATGAGACATAAACTTGGTTTATCGCCAGCGGCCATCTTACCGTCGGCCAGAGGCAAGAATTTAGATCGCCGACTGAAAGTTGCGTTGCACGGAGAGTCGGAAAGCTTCCCCTCCTCTCTCTCTCTCTCTCTCTCTCTCTCTCTCTCTCTCTCTCATCGGACATCATTTCAACGTCTGAAATCTTTTTCCTTTTCGAGGGACCAGGAATTTCAGCAAGTTACTTATCGGCTTCTTCGTGCGGCATATTTGTAAAGTGCCATCGTGATCAGCGTTTTCCCGCCGGGAATGCCACTTTGGGAGAGTTGGCGGGCTGAGCTACTCCGCGTGAACCCTTTCAACCGAGCCACGCGGATTTTCCGTACGGAGGCAAGTTTTCCCCCTAATACATGAGCGGAGAAAGTATAGGGAGCGCGGCTCATGACTCTTCCATGAGCGCGGCACGCCATCCATTTGCTCCGACTCCGCTCAACTTTCCATCCTTAACTCTTCACTCCGAACTTTCCTCCCTTGTCTCGCGCCGGAGACGGCGGCACCGAATCCCGCGATTCGCCAATTTCGCGCGGAATGCATATTCGAGATTTCCTCCATCGGCGCACACTAACGTTCCTCGCGCCTCTCTTCCCGAATGCCCCAGCATTGATTAATTGATCCCTCAGCCGAAGCGCGTTCCTTCCACGGACGTTTCTTGGAACGCTCGTCGGCGAAGTACTTCCGCGTCGCGTCTGTATCCACGCTTCTCTTAGCTGCTTCAACGTTTCCTTGTTCGCTCTTAATGTTACATAATAAAATGTTAATTTGTTGCATTCCATGTGCATTTTGATCACGATGGAAACTCTGTCTCTCTCTCTCTCTCTCTTTATTCATTTGATTTTTGATACCCTTAAATGATTAATCGAAGGAAAGATATCTCGGTGTACGAATAGATTCAAGTGTCAAGTGTTCTGTACACAAAGAATTAGTTTATGTGCGTCTCTCGGCTGTGCGCGCGATCGATAGAGGCTTATTAATTCGAGAAACTCGCCAAAGAATCGTGGAGCAGCTTGATCTTTTTTTTCTTTCTTCTACTTCTCCTTCTCCCGGCTGTTCGTTTAAAGTCTTTTACTCGCGTATCTCGAAGTGAAAATGCGATCCTTGTAGAAACGCGTCCCCGCGACCCGGTGGCGATTTCCATAATTTAATTTATATTGGCTTAATCCGCCGGCGTTTCAGATGCGCCGCAAACTTTGCGGGGTGCCTCTCGCGGATTAAGCGGAGCGCGCGTCCATCTGAATTTTTAAACTCCGTCTCTCTGGGTTGCCGAGCAGAACTTTTTTCGCGCCGCTCTTATTTCCAATTCCGCGGGATTCATCTCGAAGTCCAAAGCGCGCGAAGATATGCACCGCTCGAGGCCACGATCCCTATCCCGCACAGCTGCGCTTTCGTCTCGGCGCTGATCGATTAATCGAGCGAGAACTTTAATGGCGGAGTGCCCCCTTTGATACTCGCGGTAATTTCGGCAATTTACCGTCTTAAGTTACCGGTCCTCCTTTTGCTGCCGGGCTCGCTCCCGTCTCGGTCTATGCCCGAAGAGAATTTCAACGCGGAGCCGGCGATAACATTCCCCGTTTCCATCCTCAGGATGGAGCCATTAGCGCGACGTTCTCGAGACGCGCGCTATCGACGTTCTCTCCCCCACGTCTCGCCTGCGCCCCGTTTTTAAAACTTGCACAGCGAGCGTGCTTACAGCGGCTTTCGATTTCCTTAACGTTCGCACATATATTCGAGCAACTCTCCTCACTTGACAATACCCAGTCTATTTGATCCGCTGCTCTCCGAACGCGAAGCACTGCATCGAAAGTCTCGCGAATCCATTCAAATGTGGAGTGCCCGCTGCCAACTTCTTTTTCAGTAACTTCCCGGAGATCATTCCCCGTTTTTCCACGACGCCCGTCGACAGAACGCTCGTGATTTCTCTTACTCAAAATCTCGAAACATCTCAGAGAAGCACTCGGCTTATCGCTTCGAGTAGATATTGAATATAGTTTTTCGGATTTTACGTGACATTCGACGTCACGACTTGGCGATTATTTGGCCATAATGTGCCGGATTGATTCTCGCGTTGAAACGTAATCACGGTTAAAATTGTCAAGTTTGTCAAATGGCTCGATTAATTGGACCTTTTATGTCAAGTGAAGGATCGACATTTACGCTTCGCTGTCGCAAATTTTTTATTTCATCCACGGATGAATTTCAACTGGCGAGAGACATCGCGAATATCGAATTATTAATTGTACGCCTCTACTTGCGCCGCGTCGACGTGGCCGTCGGCGTATTCTCTGTCGCATTGCCGGAATGCACGAACGTATATGTGGAAGGCACGTCACTCTCTTGGGCGCACTTCTCGAGATGAAGTTGTTCCGCCGCCCTTCTCCTTCGCACCGGTGAAGTCGCGCTGTCGCCTTCGCTCCGCGGCTCCTTCCTCGGGTTCGTTTCTACGAACCTCCGAAAATCCGACTTTCTCTCTGACGACTCATCGTTGTCGTCGCCACCGCCGCTCCCAGCTTCTTCTTCTCCTTCCGGATATACGATCTCGCTTGTTCGCGGGCTCAGCCAGAAGTCACGTTTCCCCGACATGACTCTCCTCTGCCAAACGCGCACTTCTCTCTTGGCTTCCTCGGCCTCGTCCGCGAGGACGTACGCCAGCGACTCACCCTGCAGCGGGATTCGTCTTCTCCAAGTCACCGAACGACCCGGCAGCTTCTCCGCGAGATCGATTGACTTGCCCAGCCGTGGACTCGGGCTAACGTCTCGTGAACAGTCCCCCTTTTTCGCGACGAGTTGCGCCCGTAATTCAGATTTTCGTTGTTCTAAAATATAGAATGTTTCCACGTTTGAAGGAAATTACAAACAAGCTATGCTCAGATAATTTATTTTGCCAAAAAAATAATTGCATGCTTTAATTTTACTCGAATTTAAAAGTAGTTAGAGGACGGGAATAATTAAAAGTGTAGTTTGTCATAATTAAATACCGAGTTATGCGCACACATACACGCCGATTTTCATATTAAATATTAAATTTACGTGCATTATGTACATGCGAATTAATTGCATGTTTATATATACCGAGATCTAATAGAAACCTCGTTTCAAATAAATTATCATAGCTTCATAAAATTTATTCCGCGAATTAATTCAATCACCTCATTAAAAGGCCCAAATCGTGCGGAAAGTTAATTAATATTCGCGCACGTTAATTTCGTGTTCAATTTTCGGAATTTGCACGGTCTGCTTACGTCGTAACACAAATTAATATAGCGATATGTGTCGATATTACGAAGGTGATCGCGAATAAATAAGTTTGGATAGAAGTGACACGCCACTGGCGCCCGATTTCGCGTTAAGCGCGATCTATTGAGCCATTTTAATTTATGAAACAAGAACCGCCGCGACGAGACGCGTTTTATTTTACCCCGGTCTGATGAAGCGCCGTAGGAGCCACGAGGCTTATTCCCCGCGAGGCCAATTACGCCGGACACTTCAATGCACCCTCGATGCATCTAAAACGCCCCGTTGGGACAGCGACGAATGATCCTCGCGCTTTAATGCCCCAATCTAACGCTACGGTGATTCGACCCTGTCCAATTTTGTTCTATCGTCCTTATCTCATTTATACAACATCCAATCTCGGCCTAACCCTTTCGACCCTCTCGATAGAAATCCTCGCAGGAACCCTTTTGTCGCGACTTACAGTTGAAACTTATCTCGGGAGATCTATTGTACCCAGGAAGAATCACATTCCCTTCACCGCGTTATTAATGTTTCTTCGCGTTTACGTTGCGTCAAAGGAAAACTCTATTTTGCAGGGAGAAACAAATCCGCCTACGTGCAGATTTATAAGCATTAATCTTGAAATTAAATGAATGAATGTAATGAAAATTTGCTTTTGATGCATATACACACGCATATGCATGCGTACGCTTCACTGTTCCAACAAAGTGGAGAGATTCAGAATTGAAAATATCAAATTGAAAATTCATTAAATAAATTAAATAAGTGAGAGTTACATTGTCGAGTCATTTTGCATAAAATGCATCGACCAAATATATTCGTTTAACGATACATTTTATCGTCGACGGGTGCGTTGGTGCAAAAGCTTGATATAAAATGAATGAAGAGAAACATATTTATCGCGCAGAGAGAGAGAGAGAGAGAGAGAGAGAGAGAGAGAGAGAGAGAGAGAGAGAGAGAG